TCAGCCAAGCGACTCATTCCAACGAAACAGTCCCTATCGAGGCGCCTGTCGCTGCAAAGGAAGCGGGCCAAGCGCAAGACGCGGTCGAAACAGTCAAAGAGATCCAAACAGAAGCGATGGGCGCCGATGCCACTGGAGCTGCAGCTTCCTCCAGCACCGACCAGAAACACTTTTTGATTGTCGATGATAACATTATCAACCTCAAGGTGAGTTGCTACGTACCGTCTCGATGAAGGCTCAGACTGACATGTCCAGATCCTGTCCACATTTATGAAGAGGCTGGGGCGAGAGCACTGCACTTCAATGAACGGACTTGAGGCACTCGAGGCCTTCTCGGCGGACCCCGGAAGGTATTCATGTATTCTCATGGACATCAATATGCCTGTCATGGACGGCCTCGAATCAACGCGGCGAATTCGCCAATTCGAGCGTCTCAACAAACTTGCTCCGACGACCATCATCGCCATCACAGGTCTGGGCTCTGAAGAGGCGCGGAAAGAGGCATTTGCGAGCGGGCTGGACCTGTTCCTGACGCGCCCGGTGCGCATGGGCGAGCTGCACACGATTCTGCGGCAGAAGGGACTGACCGATGTGGAGGGCCGCAAATCGCCCGATTCGGAAAAGGCGGCAGCGATTACGACTTGATGAAAAGAAGCAAAAGCCGGCAGGTGTGTGTACGATGTTGCAGGAGGCGTTGCGCGAGATTCCGGGCATGAGGTTCGCCCTTTTTAGCATGCGACACGGCGTTTGGGGCGGCAGGTGGTCAACAGCCTCTGGTTGTTCTGGATGCATGATGAACGATCCACCCGGCTTATGGTTCCGGCCGAGGAAGAGTAGATACCCCATGACGCATATATGAATGTCACGTCATTACTGTGACTGCGGAGCCCTCGCGGAGCTTGGGTGCGCTGTGTTGTTGAACACGACAATGGAAGGGCTCATTGTTGTATGAGAAATCTTGTGATCATGACGAGGAGTATTCCGAAAGAAATGGGAGGCAGATTGTGATTGTACAAGGTTGAGCAGGCCCTTCTAGGTGTTGTCACACTGAGTAGTTGTACGTGTAAGACGCACACTCCACAGGTCAGCTCGTTTCAGTCGGGAATCAAGCTGCACAGGTCACCGCTCAGGCAAAGCTGCCACTGACTTTGGGCTTTGTAGCCGACGGGTGCTATGAATCCGACGTGATGATGTGCAACATGAACACGGCATACTAGTATGGCCAACAGTGATGAGCTCGGAAAAGAGCCGACCCATCATGAAAAGGGGCCAAACCGTCACGCGTCTTCCCACCGCCTCGGCTTCATGTAGCAACTCGTCGGCTTGTACGTAATCTCCTCCATGGCCTCATACCCAGAAAGCTCCTCGCCACATTCCAAAAGCTCAAAGTTCCACGCTACAAGAGTACAGACGATCCTCATCTCCAGATACGCCAACTTCCGCCCGAAGCACCCCCGAACGCCGCCGCCGAACCCCAGCACCGGCCCGGCCAGCGGATCGAATACGACATTCCCCGCGCCGTCCGTCGACAGCCACCGCTCCGGCGCAAACAATTCCATGCCCTCGGGATCCCAGGCCCCGCACGGCCTCGCCGACGGACTCCTCGCCGCCTCGGGGATCCGCAGCGCCGGCGACGTCAAGCTGGGCCCCTGCGCGAGCATCAGCATCGTCGTCCCCTTCGGCACAGCGCGGCCCAGCACCGTCGTGTCGCGGTCGCACTGCCGCTCGAGCACCGGCACCGGCGTCCCGAGCCGCACCATCTCCTCGAGGACGCCGTCGAGGTACGGCACGCTCGTCGCCACAATCTCCGCCACCGTCGGCGCGCGCCTTTCGGCCGCCGCCGCCGCGTGCGCCGCCCGCAGTGCCGCCCGCAGCGACGCCTGCGCCGCCGCCGCGTCCGTCAGCCGCTTGAGGCCCCAGCTCAGCGTCGTGGCCGTCGTGTCGTGGCCCGCGACGATGAAGCCGAGCACCTCGTCCGACGTGTCCTCGGACACGTACACCGGCGCGCGGCCCTCCTTGTCCGCGAGCCGGCGCTCGCGCGCCATCATCAGGTCGACGGCCGAGCGCGCCCAGCTGTCATCTTCGTCGTCGTCGTGCCACGCGCCGCGCACCTTGTCGAGACGCGCGACGGCGCCGAGGATCTGCTCGCGCGCGTAGCCGCGCTGGAGGGCGCGGAAGCGTCGCTCCGACGGCAGCAAGGCGAAGTACCGGTACGCGAGGTCGATGAAGGGCGTCGCCGCCGCGCGGCCGACGAGCTCGCCCGCGTGCAGCGTCGCCTCGAGCGTCTCGTGCATGGCGCCCTGCGGGAAGACGGCGTCGCCGCGGGGTCCGCGCTCGACGTGCCTGCCGCCGTCCTGGGCCTCCGCCGACTCGGCGGCGCGCGTCTGCGCCGGCAGCGTGCGGTGCGGGAAGGCTTTGCCAAAGGTAAAATCGAGGACGGCGTCGAGGGCGGTGCGGGAGATGTCACCACCGGCCTCAAAGGGGGCGCCGCCGGCGCGCTCGGCTTTCAGGTCCCACAGCGTGACGAGGGCCGTGGCGGAGCGGTAGATCTCGGGGGCGGCGACGGCGTGGAGGAAGGCGGGGCCCATGGTGTCGGCGAGGAGGGCGCGGTGGTAGCGCCATGCCGGGCCGTGCTTCAGGTTGATGTGGTGGCGCGGCGCGACGCCGCCGAGGATGGAGATGGAGTAGTCGCTGCGGTCCCATTCGCGGCGGCGCGTGAGGATGTCGCGCGCCTCGCGGTAGTCGGCGAGCAGCAGGTAGGGACGCGAGAAGGGCTTCAGCCAGACTTGGCGCAGCGGCGTCTGGTGGGTGGTCGGGAGGGATTTGAGATAGGCGAACCCCGTCGTCGGGTGGGATATGAGCGCTGGCAGATCCGTCGTCAAGAAGGCCCATGGCGCGCGAGGGATCGAGGGAATTGGCCTCTGGAGGATGTAGAGTGTCAATGGAACCAGGAGAAGGAGAGTGACGACGAGAGGGGTGACAGGCAGTTCCATGTTAATCATGGTCGCGGAAGAATTGGAGTGTTTGATCTCAACGATTGATCTAAGCTACCTGGGGACGGCAATGAAGGTAGAGTGAAGGAGACGCTGGAAGAATGGCCTTCATGTCAGGACCAAGAGTTACTTTATCCTCACATGTGGAGCCACGATGGGACTGTCAGCGTCAGCTTACATCGACCTTCCCGGTCTTGACTTGGGCCATCCTTGCCGTCAGCCGGCATCACGTAAATTGGAGGCGTCATTCCGGCCGCCGGACCGCACCTCCTTCGCCTTCATGGTATGCTGATGGCGAACTGACTTTGGAAGTTACCTGGAACCTGCTCTCAGAGTAGCCAGGGACAGCGGCTCGATAGAGAGGCTCTGGAATATTGTGGGAATCAGAAAACCAGGATTTCGGCTGCCCTCCCCGTTATGCGCATGCATTGATTTCAGTGCTGCCTTGAGGAAGACCTCTTCACCCCGCCAGAACCTTTGCTCTGGTCAAGTTGCTCCCAGTCACTGCAGAGATCTGAAATGCTAAGCACATCTCGGCGTTACTTGCTGCGGATCCTGTTCGCCTCTGGTCTTGTCAAGGGATTGCTATTCCGAGTACTGCGCATGGGGTAATCAATTGACGTATGAATTACGAACTCACCAGAAGGGCTTAATTCCAGAGGCTAATCCGTACGGAAAATAAAAGACGAGTATTCAGAGTGTCATCGGCACTTCTTATGGAATGTCAGCCAGCACCGACATGATGGGTCAGTCAAGGCATTTCAGTCAACCCTACCTGACAACCCAAGATGCGCACCAAGGCGGCAGCATCAGCTGCGCGTCGATAGAAAGTTGACGGTTGGAACTCTGCATGGATTTCGTCGCTTCTACAAACATTCGTAGGTGGGCTTCTTCACTGCCAATCAAAGATTTCTCCAAGCTTGTCGTGTGATGCAAAATCATCCCTTTCTATACCAACGACGCAAGATCCCTCTGTTTCCGACTATAGTCCAAGTTCAAAGACGTTCTCAGAGTTCCAAGATAGAGCTTCTTTTTACTCACTTCTATGACGACATCTTATGAAGACTTGCTGAAGGCAGTGAGCTATTGTGCTACTATAGCGGGCAGTAGTGTTCTACGAGATATCGTCAGGCGACAAGCTCCCTAATGAACTCGAGAGTATTACAGACTAGTACAGATACACGAGTGAGACGGACGGTCAAAGAGAACTTACATATCTGGAGGGTAGGTAGTAGGAATCCGCGATACACCACTGGACGAGATGTACACTGATCGATCAATATCGTAGAACGCGTGGATATACCGGATAGACGGATGGATGGACAGGCAAGGTAGTTAAAGTGTACATTTGCTATAAGTAAGGATCGGATTATGTCAACGCAACTGCCTTAGAAAGTATGTTGTGTTTGTAGAATTTCTTTGGAATAAGTGACTTCTTTACAAACGCCTTGTCACCTTCTAGGTACCGCAACCACGCTACTAACGACTGGTTAGCTTCCTATACACTCTAGAAATGTGTTTGACGCAGCTTCTCCACATCGACATAGTTGAAGGTTGTCAGAAGCGCGAACTCCCATACTGAGCTGTACGTAGAAGCAGCCCCTGAGAAGGAGGCTGGAAGGCTGCATTGACGTCGGTTCCTGGGTCTCAATAGCCGGCTTGGGTGAATTCAGAAACACAAAAAGGCCACTCCATCAGCATCACTGAATAAGTGACAGGCCTATGCTCACGAGCTTGAGGTCAGTCACAATGTTTACAGTCTCACACTAGAATGAGATTGGCGGATAGCACCCTACGACTCCAAAATCATGTTCACGAGCGGGCCGGTTTTACTAATCAAAAATTAAATCTCGCTGTAGGTGCTATTCTTAGTGCCTTTGACCCACTGGCGGCTGACCTAGTCCGATAACAAATCCTCTAGCTATAAGAGTGCCTCATGCCGTGTCTTAAGGACATCGTGTCCATCATCTTCTGTTACCTTTGTCTCGCACAACTGGGCATTACACCATGGCTTCCGACTACACGTACACGTTCTTTCGCATTTCGCAGACCGAACAGCTAGCGGCTTCTGTCGCTCAATATCGCAAGCTCCGCCTAAAGGCACTGAGCACATCCCCCGACTCATTCTCCTCAACGCATGAAATTGAGTCAGGCTTCGGCGACAAAGTTTGGGAACAACGCCTTTCTGAGAAGGGAAAAGAGACCTTCATTTGCGCCGCTTCTCATATCGGATCCGGTACCGCCGAATGGGTCGGGCAAGTTACGCTGCGCGGACCACTGACGCAAGATGAGTATGATCTGCCCGAAGAATCAGGTCAGCCGCCCGTGGATCCAGACGCGCATTCAGAGCAGTGGCAGATGCTCAGCTTGTACAACCTTCCGGAGCACCGCGGCCACGGCTTAGGCAAAAGGCTTTGCCTGGAAGCACTCCGCTACCTCGAGCTGGAGAGGCCTGCTTCGAGCTCCCTGGTGCGACTCATGGTCAAGCCACAAAACACCGCCACCGTCGGTCTGTACAAGAGTCTTGGATTTGAGGAGGTGGGCCGGTGCACGCTCGCGGAAGCTGTCATGGCCAACGGTGATGCGAAACTGCTGCCCGAAGATTACGCAACTCGGAGCGAATATACTACTCGAGGGGGAATCATCATGACTCGCATAGTCCCAGGGCAGAAAGGCGAGGCTTAGGATGAGCGTCGCGTGAGATCTCACCACGGCCTTCGTAGAGATGCGATGCTTGCCAATTAACAGAGGAAAATCTCAGTACTAGATAAACATACACGGCTTGGTTGTGTAAGCTTTCCCACAAGACAAGCGAAGAACGAGCTCGTACATTTATAATAATTACCTTTAGGTTTGATAATCAGTCGATTACGTCCAGTAGCTATTGATGTGAGTTGATTATATAGAAGAGACTCGGCCCAAGTGAGCATAGAGCGGTTAACGAGGATACCAGCCCCATCCGTAGTCGCGAGGAGTGTTACAGACGAGGAACATGACACATGTCATGAGACGATCGAGAAGACCAGCTCACAGATGGTGCTCATCTTCTTTGAAAACTGGGCCAGCAACTGGGACGACATCGGTGAATAATATGATTAGCTTAGGGGAAAGGTTGTGTATACCGCTTTTTCGCGACTTCCGGAACCCAGGGTTCATACTCAAACTCAGAGATCCGTAGTGTACGATTGGGAACCGTGCGTCTCACTATGAGCATACTCTGCAGCCAAGCAATGAACTCATCGGTGGCATATTGCCACTGAGACGAAGAAAGCCGGATGCCGATACATACATCATGCACGTTGCAGATGCGGGTGGCTTTGAAGTCTTTCGGGTTTCGTCTCGCAAAGCGACACCGGAGGAGCCACGCCAAATTGCCGAAGTGAAAAGGTGACACAGGCCTTGACCACATTGAAACCAACCACCCGAAGTATAGTATGCCAAGTGGTCGTCTCGATCTGCAGAGCAGAGTCTCCATCAACGCCGACGCCATCGTAGCCAAGATTGTAAGTACCATTGGTGGCGTCTCTGGACCTTTACGTGCTCGATTACCTTGGAGCCGTATATCTCGATTCGGAGATTGATTAATTAAGAGAAGAAGGCTTGAATATTCAGCGGAGTTAGAAGTCAATAGTGGCAAGTTCGTATGTGGTATCTGTGGGAGGGCTTGGTCTTGTTCTTTCATGTCTGGACGGTCGTCCCTTAAGAGCAACGTGGGCTTGGCGGGGTAACACAGGATTTCTTTGATCCAAACGCAGATCCAGCAGCAACTCCCGGGTATAGTTCGATATATTTTGCCAAGCCTGTCCTGGTGGCTGGATGTGGGACTCGTTCAAGGAGGTAGATAGCACGTAGACTTATTTCCATGTCCTCCTGCAGTCTCCTTCGGTCGATATCAGCATGCCTCCCAGTATCTAAAGGAGGGAAATTAACCTCAATCTGCTTTAGATAGCCCATTATGAAAAGCAAGTAGTCGATTTGGTGTCACGAGAGGAATAAATCAGACTCATCGTAGGCCAGGCCGGGTCGACAGGCACACCTGAAGTGGTGAGGGGAGCACTAGAAGGGATACCTCATTGCTCACTATAGAGCCATACATATAAGCTGCCAGGTACAAAAGGGGTATCCGGGATATGACAGCACCTCATTGAAGTGACAAAAAAGTGTGCAGGGTAGCCCTTATCGTGCGGTAACCTACAACGTGAGGTCAACCTTAGACGTAGTGAAGGCGGACAGTACTGTATTTATCGCGCAGTCTTCTTCGCTCATGCTACTTAGAGGGGCCTGTACACAGGTATTATCTCTATGATTACGTTTGTTAGTTCTTCGGTTTAAGTCTCTTTCTATGCGAAAGTGACCCAACAGCCCGGCCTTTTATTGCTGCCTGGGTGACCAATATAGCTTCGTGCTAAATAACAAGTAACCTTTTCATAAAAAAGAAATGTCGCCTAAGGTAAGACTTGAACACCCGTATGTGTCAGCAAAGTCTTTCCACATGAATAGCTCTTGATCGGCTCATCATGTTGATAGCCAACTTTTAATTTATCGGTCAACGGAATGATGTTCTCCGTAGAGTCTGGTCCCCGGTGAAGCATTCGCGCTTGTCAGTTACTGCCCAGACTCACGACAACTTGGCTAGAGGCCTGGGCCTCAGCAATTAATTAAAGGGGCAAAAGCGGCAAGAGAAATGCATATTTCCAAGGGGACATCATTTTCAACCATACCGGGTATGTAATGCCGATGTCAACTTGGCACTGCTTTTTGGTGGGGCATCACGGCCGACTCGGTTGTTCGTCTGAACTCGGGATACGATTCTCAAGATCAACAATGTTAGTGATGAACCCGAGGCGAACCGTGATCCTGGATTCAAGACGAGCCTTCAAGCATCAACCCTTTTCGTATCCATTTGGCAGCGCATTGAATTGAGACGTGGTGCTTAAATGTTCCGGTGTCCCCGGCTCGATCCGAATATTCGGATGACGCGGCCTCGACTTGGCAAACACCAAGCAACATTGCATCCACAGAAGCATGGAGTTCGCGAGTTCGTTGGCTGAAAATCCTTGTAAGAGCTCAAACCTCCAGCCAGTCTTGGGACGCGGGCCAAGGAGGATGGGAAAGTTTGCGCCGTGAGGGTGGTGCCTCCTGGCAGAGTTCTGGAGCCACGGAAAAGGGGCAAACCAAGCTTTCGTGCCAATGCTAGCCACTCTCATTACGAAGGGAGACATCGCCGACGCGGAGGAATGCCTTGGATATCTTCTCTACGGTCAGTCAGGGCTTTCAATCAAGTCTACCTTCGAGAATTGGTCATCAGAGCCATCAGTCCCTTTCGGCGGCCTCGCCGTGCTGGCGCGCCGACTCCGTGGCTTTCCCCACTTGTCAGGCGCCGAGCCCGAATATCCGGATGTATCACACTCATACCAGGCGAGGATACACGAGGTCAATCGAGCTCAATCACGAGCATTAGGAATGCAATCAGTGACCCTGTTTCAGATTCATGCTTCCCCACCCTTCGGAGGTCGGAGATTGTTGTCCATAAGGTTAACTGGTGGAACCATCTTCAGCCAGTGGCTATATGGTGTACCGTTGTGTGGTTGTGACTGAGGTGGACATTCAAAGACGCTATATGTTGCTGGTCAAGGTTTAGGCAAAAATACCGATATTTATCACTGATGCGTATACTTACTTAGGAGCAAACAAACTTTGACTTGATGACCATGTCAACCACTGCCTGATCATTGAAGTCCAAATGCCAAGCTGGAGGTAGCTGGTATGGGCCAAAAAGAGCTGCCTTGCGTCCAGATAGGGATATGCCGAGAACATGGTAAAGGCCCATCATAACCTACCCGCCCTCTCATTTAACGGCAATCCACCATGGGGGTGGCGTGACAGGGACCCTTTGATGAGGAGACATAATCGTTTGGAGAGCGTGCGACCGCTTAGTATAAGATCCAGCACTACGCTGGCTTCTTACAGTTGATTCTTGCTCTCCATCTCACATTGTCTCTCTTTGACTTCCACATTCTTTACATCACATTCTTTTACTTCACTCTTGTGTGGCCCTTGGACTGGATCCTTCCCATACTTAGCAAAACCTTTATCACCTCATTACCTGATATAACACACCAAGTCCAAACCATCACGATGAAGTTCTCCAACGTTCTCAACCTCGCCCTTCTGGGATTCGCCACGGCCACGCCCACTCCCACCATCCAGGAGGACGGCAGCCCTGCGCTCATTGCCAAGCGCGCCTCCGTCACCGAGAGCTGCAACATCGGTTACGCCAGCACCAACGGTGGCACCACCGGCGGCAAGGGTGGTGCCACGACAACTGTGTCGACCCTTGCGCAGTTCACCAAGGCTGCCGAATCGAGTGGCAAGCTCAACATTGTTGTCAAGGGCAAGATTTCCGGCGGCGCCAAGGTGCGTGTGCAGTCGGACAAAACCATCATCGGCCAGAAGGGCTCTGAGCTCGTCGGTGCCGGCCTCTACATCAACAAGGTCAAGAACGTCATCGTTCGCAACATGAAGATCAGCAAGGTTAAGGACTCCAACGGCGACGCCATTGGTATCCAGGCCTCTAAGAACGTCTGGGTTGACCACTGCGACCTGTCCTCCGACCTCAAGTCGGGCAAGGACTACTATGACGGTCTCCTCGATATCACCCACGGCTCCGACTGGGTGACTGTCTCCAACACCTTCCTCCACGACCACTTCAAGGCCTCGCTTGTCGGCCACACCGACTCGAACGCCAAGGAGGACAAGGGCAAGCTTCACGTCACCTACGCTAACAACTACTGGTACAACGTCAACTCGCGCAACCCCTCCGTCCGTTTCGGTACCGTCCACATCTACAACAACTACTACCTCGAGGTCGGCAGCTCCGCCGTCAACACCCGCATGGGCGCCCAGGTCCGTGTCGAGTCTACCGTCTTTGACAAGTCGACCAAGAATGGCATCATCTCGGTCGACTCCAAGGAGAAGGGCTACGCCACCGTCGGCGACATCTCTTGGGGCTCCTCCACCAACACTGCGCCCAAGGGCACCCTTGGCAGCAGCAACATCCCCTACAGCTACAACCTCTACGGCAAGAACAATGTCAAGGCTCGTGTCTACGGCACCGCCGGTCAGACCCTAGGCTTCTAAGCGTGCGTTTGATGCGCCTCTCTTCTTGGAATGCAGGGCTTGAGGCCCGACTTTTTTTCGTGATGGAACTTGGACCTTGAACATTTGTTCTGATACTTGTATATATTCGGTAATTATTCTTCTATGAGCACGGCTGCTTTTCGCCGAATGCTTTTTTCAAAGGTTCCTGTTCTCCGCTGCCTGGTGTGCATTGATGTTTGATTGGCAGTGTTTGCGCTCTTCAGCTTCGGCGAAGAATAGGCAGAATATGAGACTCACAATGTGGATTAACTAATCAACCTTCCGGGGCCGAACGTCCGGTGGCGGTCTATTTCGTGATCATCCCTGCTGCGTCCATTTCGGCACAACTTCATCTGGCTTCGACTTCTGGCTCTGCCCCGCCGCCGGGGACTAACAAACAGGCCAGGGCTGCCAGGCAGACTTCCTCATGATGACTTCGCGCCGTACCTCGTTTTGACAGCCAGCTGACAGAAGACGTACGAGAGGTGGTTGCTGCCCACAATTTGGTATTTTGATTCCCTTGTCGCAGAATGACGATAACGAGGCAGGATCCAGACCTGCCCATTTCGACTCGACACAGCCTGAGGCACACTGGAGAAAACAACACCTTCAAGAGTGTCATCCACTTCTTCCACTTCTTCCCAATGAACCCACGGTTGGGCGAGGTCAGTACCCATCGGCGCCAACATGCCCGATTTCTCCGATAAGGATGCTTTCATCCACGCTCTCAAGAGTTACTACACCACGCTATCCTCCTCCGGTCTCTTCGCCCCGGAGACGATCCGAAACCCGCCGGCTGGAGGCTGGCCTCTCGGCGCCCTCTCCATCCCGCCCACTCGCTCCAAAGCGGCCATTTCTCTACTCCGCCACATCCCCTACCTGGAGCCCTATGCCGCTCCGAATGGGCAGAAATCGCAATGGCCCATTATGGTCAAGGCCCTTGCGGTCAATTACTTGGAGCCCTTGCGAGAGGATCACCCTGACCTACCACCAGACGTGATCGTACTTGCCCGTGCCTTCTGCGTCGACCCTGGCAGGGGTGGTGAAATTGTAGACTGCACACTGAATTGCGCGACAGGAGAGGTGATTCGCTCGAATGAGATAGTCTCCGCGACAGAATTCTTCGAGAGGCGGATTGATGAACTGAAAGATCAGACCGTCATGCCGCTGCCGCCGGTAGACGACATGGCGCCCGCCCTGTTCTCCGACGAGTGGGGACGGGAAGACATCGTGAAGCGAGCGTTGCGGGGTGTGCAGATCAGGTGCGGGTGGACGGGGACACATAATGTTCTTGTGTGGAACCGAGCCAAGTTCCTGCGAGAGATGGCCTGGTTCCGGAGAATGAGGCGGAGAATTGAGGAGTGCAGGGCGGCGAGAGAGGAGATGTTTGATGACGAGGCAGATGAGGACTGGCCACCGGAGGACACGTCTCGAGCTTCGTCTGAAAGCGAGTGGACGTCCAGCGACCGTGAAATGGAAGAAGAGGGCGGGGCCGGTTACATGGCAAACGAGCTCGCCGGGCTGTGGTCTGATCTTGACAAGGCCGAGTTTGACCATGTCAGTGAGCAACTCGCCAAGGACAACATCTCCCACACTTTCCAGGTGCCGCGCGAAGGCCAGGCCCCAGTCCGTCTAGCTGTACCCGCCCCCCCGACACAGGATGAAGCGACGGCTACTCGTGACGCCCTCATCAACGGCCTGACGCGCTACTACACCCTCCTCACGCGTGCAGCCTACCTTCCCACCGAAGCTGTCGAGTACCCTCCCCTCGAAGGCTGGCAGCCGCCTCTCTTCCAAGAAGATAAACTCCGCGCGCTGAAGTACGATGGTTGGACCATTGAGGTGCTCCGTCATTTGCCATACATTCGTGAGGCGGGCGAGATGGATGATCAACAGTGGCAGGTTTTCATACAAGGCTACCCAATTCGATACCTCCATGACGGTTACCTCCTCCAGCAAAGCCCGTCGAAACTCGCAAAGAAAAACCTGCAAGACCTCGGCTTTTCGCCGTACAAAGCGGGCCTGCCAGGGACACTATTGGCCGTCGTCAAGGCGAGAACCGAATCAGACTCGCACTGGTGGCTCGTGGATTTAGAGAAAGGTACATATGTCATCAATTGAGAGGCCTACGCTGGCACTGACGATATCGCTAGGCGAGATCATGGTCGACGACGCCACGATGCAGGTTGATAGAGGCTCGACAAAGAAGACTCCTTGGCTGCGCAACAAGGCGGAGCCGATTTCTTCGTTCTTTGACAAGTTGATCCATCGACTCGTTACGCTAGATCTAGTGCCTATGCCGGATCTGGGGAGACTCGAGGGCATGTATGACGAAGACGTCTACGGGCCTGAGATTTGGGGGGGCATCGCAGCGAAGGAAGGGGAGAATGTGCGGGGGGCGCTGGATCTGGAGATTGAGGTGAGAAGAAGTCTGGCCACGGCCACAGATAATGCTAACAAGTGCAGCTGGCGCGGAAGATCTACCTCGAGCACGGATGGCCTACGCACGAGTTCAGGAGGCAAGAGTGCATCGATGCGCTCGTGCAGATGAGGCAGGAGATTTGGCAACACGTGCGGGATGAGAGGCAGAAGCTGTACGAAGCCGAGTATGCTGACAAAATGTTGGAAGACGAAGTCGAAGAAAAATATCACGACGATGTGGATGAGGCAGCAGAATGATCTGACTTGATAAGAGGGGTATGGTATCATTAGGCCTGTGGCCACCATCGCAAACGATGGATTCATCTATAGTTCTACTAAAAACACAACGCTAATCCCACTCATGCCATGCGGCTTATGCAATTTCATACCCTCGAGTCAATGCTCACGGCATCGCTCGCAAGACTGCCCTTCCGTCCGGTTCCCGTCCCTGACCTCGACTCGAGCCCGTGGTGGTCCATCTCGACGACGACGCTCGTAACTGTCTCCATCTGAATCGCCAGACCAGCGCCGCCTCCGCCGCTACCGCCGCCACTGCCCTGCTGTCCAGGGCCTTGAAGACTGTCCTCACTAGAGCCCGCCTCACCGCGCAGCCTTGTCAGCTTGCCGAGTGAGCCGAGCTTCTTGCGCCCACCGCGGGAGTGGCCCCTGTAGTCGTCGTTTACCATGTTTTCGGCGCCACCAGCGACAAAGACGACGTTGCCGAATCGGCGATTCGGCGGTGTGCGCATAAAGGCGAAGGTCTCGAGACCCGTATCTTGTGAAGGCGGCAGGTCGGAGAAGACGATGGAGCGACGTGTTGTGGCATACAGTAGCACATCGAGCCACCCGTTACAGGCGATCATTGAGCCAGAGAAGCAGAAGTATGCGAGGGACGGGGTGGCACCGGCCATGGAGGCAACACGACCAGCGGCTAGAGGTGTCGTACAGATGACGTAGATAAAGGGGTACAAGAGGAAGGTCCTTTGCGAGGCGTGGTCGATCAGAGAGCGGCGGTGCAAGGGGGCCGCAAGGTTCTGCTTGCTGTGCCCTGGGTGTCCCTCACGCGAGGCCGCAAGCGTGGCCTTGCGGATGTGGAAGAAGATGAGGATGTAGAGGACCGAGGTGATGCCGAGCGACAGGAAGATCCAGAGGTAGTGCAGGAAGAGACGGATGTCCTGGTAAGCTGAGTTGATCCAGCACTAGGTGATGCATGTCAGCGCAATGTTCAGCTCAACTCTCTGATAAATCATGCTTACCCATGCACCAGCACGAACGTAGAGGCCGCCCACGGACGCGCCGTTGTTCGTGATGATGACGCCAATGATGGCCGTCAGATAGGTGAAGGCCCAACCGCCCATGATTGTGGTGTAGAAAGCCCACGTGGCCATCCGGTGGCCTCGTACAACCCCCAAATATGTGTGCATGGCGATGAGGAAGATGAAGACGGAGGATGCCAAATCACCCGTCGAAACGAACCAGCCTTGCGCCCAGCACATTGAAGTCCCCGCACGAATGGCATCCTTTCGCAGCCACGCAGCGTTGAGCAAGAAGGCGAGGGCCTGCTGGATATCGGCGAAGAGCAGGTTCAAGATCAAAACGAGGAACTGGTTAGGGGGATCCCTGCGAAGTCGTCCCCATACGGTCGTCACCTCCTCTTGCGGTGCTGGCACCTCCATCTGAGGACAGAGATGCTCATCGGGAAGTTCATGATCCACCACCGGCGTGGCCTTGGGGTTGGTCCCGGAGGCCAGGTCGATCGGTCGAAGTTGCCATCGTACCAGTTTGAACAGCAGAAAGAACAGAAGGGCGACGCTGCTGATGAAAGAAAGGAAACCGAAGAAAGATACGGCAACGAGCCCGCGGTGAAGGACAGCGGGGAGCGGAGCGAGACTGAGGATCGAGTCGTCGCCGCGGACAACGAGGTGTGGTTCGCTCATGACAGTGCGGTCGTTTCGTCGTTGTTATCGTCGTCGGTTGTCCAGAGTTTCTCTTAGGGATGCATCTGAGGTCGTGGTCACGAACCCTCCACTGCCAGCAAATCTCGAACAGTTAGATAGACCGCTGGATGGATGCACTGCAGTTGGCAGAAAGCCAAGACCAATGTGGAAGAAGTGTGGTATATCAATGGAGTCAACGCATAAGGCTTTTCCTTTGCCCCCTCCTCAGTGACGCCTCAGCACTGTCCGCAATATTCTCCGAGGCTAAGGCCAAGCCTCTATGGAATACCAACATTGGCGGCAGCGAGTGAGAAACGACGGAGTCATGTACTAGGCGTTATTAGCGGCGAAACCGTGAGCTGCCCGGGGTGGTCCAGGAACGACTTCAGTCGACGTGCAGCTTCTCTGGCATTAGCGCCTCCCAACGTGGTCGCATCAAGCGATCCTGCGAAGTTGAACAAGGTGGGGGACCACGTTGGATCCCTGCTGCTCTTGGTTCTGGAGCTTCAGAGGGGCATTCCTCATGTGCAGACCGCGGCTGTCGTTGGCTGCTGATGAGGTGGGAGGGGCACTCACGAGTCGGGAGGGTGATTCCCCGACGGGCCTCTTCCTTGGAGGGCACAAAAGGGGGCAGACCCTGAG